GTGAGAACTTTGCTTCAAGATTTGTCATAAATGTGAGAGTGTTTGGGGAAAGTTGGAACAATAAAGGGGAGTTTGAACTATCAGCTGGCTGTGTTGCCTCCATGCCTTGCTCTGGGTCATCACAAAGGAATTGGACTAGAAGACCTCCAATGTCCCTCTCAATTTGGTTTATCTATTTAGATTACTTGAGTTTTAGTAATTACCTTCAATTTCTTACATTCAATTTTCTTAGGCAATCTGAAATTTACTTTGAAACCCATTTGCTTTTCTTTTCTTTTTTTGTTTTCTTTTCTAGTTCTCATCATATTGATTCTATTAGAGGTAATGAAGAGGAAGATTTGCCATTCACTGCTAATGATATGTTGGTGCGACAGTGATGAATACACTCAAATGTGTTTAAAATATGACACCTCTTAGGCTCGAAATATGTTGGTAACCACAGGGGCAACATCTTGTAATGTGACCTGGGATCCAGTTATTCTATTCAGTTTACTCTTTTTTAGCTTCTTCATAAGGTGTGTGAAGAAATAAATCCAGGAAATAAGTCTATTTGGGTAATTGGTTTGTAGTGGATTTATATTCAGTGTCTTCATGGAGTAGGATATGCATATGACTTCTTTTGAAGAGGCCTTTCCTCAATCCAGATATATTGGACAACTACTGCCCTGTCTCCAACCTTCTTTTGGGCCCCAAAATAAGCTCTAGGACTTATTTTCAGGAGAGATGTCTTATTTTATTTTCCATATATGGGAGGCCCACTTCTGCTTGCTCAGGGAGGGGCAGGAGGCTGTGCAGCATGCCAGTGCACTGTCACAAAGCAGGAGGGTGGAGCTGCCTCACGCGCGCTGCATCAGCTTACCTCAGGGCCCCTGTAGCTGTGCCATCCACACCCCAACACCTGCCTCACCTCGTGGCCATGGCACCAGCAAATAGCTTGGCCTCCTGCTCCATTATGACCATGAGTAAGCATAAGTGGCTATATGGGCTCCTGCTCCACATGGGTGCTGCTGCTGTGTTGGGGCATGGATGGCCTGGCTGAAGGGGCTTTGAGGTAAGCCGGTGCAGGGCACAGGGGGTAGGATCACCACCATCTCACTTCACCTCACAGCCATGGCATCATGAGCAACCAGACAGAGTGAGCAAGCAGGCAACTGTGCAAGTCTTAAATAGGGCTTATTTTGATGGTAGGGCATGCTAGGGCTATTTTCAGGATAGGCCTTATTTTGGGGGGAATGGGGTATTTTTAGGAAAAGTTCTTTAGAAAACAGGGCTATTTCATCCACAAAGTACTTTAGAAGAAGTATATTCTCTGGATACTTTTGGCAAGAAATCTAGGCATGAAATAAAACACATTAAGCTTCTGTAAATAAGTAGGACCTAGATAATGGAACATCTAAAGATCTCTTTCTTAGCAATATTCAAAATTGTGGATCCTGATATCCTTGTAGACTTCTAGAGAAGGTTATGAGTAGGAAGCAGTGCCCTGAAAGCTAGATCAGAGCAGGATATTCAAGCCTTTGTGGACAAATTCACAGCAGTATGCGACAACTTCAGCCTCCTCATCAACATAATGTGATGCATCAGCCAGTTCTGAAAGCTCCGAAAACCCAACACCAACAGCCCACCATTACAGTTAGGGGACAAGCTGCAAGCAGTGGACTAATTTACATACTTGGCAGCACCCTCTCCCATCCAGTGACAATTGAAACTGAGGTCAATTGAAGAATTGTCAAGGCAAGCTCTGCATTTGGCAGACTACTAGCCAACATGTAGGACCACTGTGGAATTAAGCCTTGCTACAAAGCTAACAGTTTCCCAAGCAGTAGTACTAACTACCCTGATGTATGCCAGTGAAACTTGGACTGTGTACAGGAGGCACGTAGGCAACTGAATCACTTCCACATGACCTGCCTCTGTAGAATTTAAGGATCAGTGACAGGACAAGGTGCCAGACAGAGAAGTTCTCTCCAGAGCAGGCCTGCCATCAGTTCACACCCAGCTGATGAAAGTCCAGACACGCTGGGCAGGCCATGTTGCAAGGATGCCAGATCCTAAACAGTTCTTCTATGGTGAGCTGTTTCAAGGAAAGTGATTGCATGGGAGACAAAGGAAGTGATAACAAAGACACATTGAAAGCCTCCTTCAAGTCCCTGGATATTGACACCACCTCCTGGGAAACCCTGGCACAAGATGGATTGACATGGCGCATACTGATCCACCAAGGCTGCCAGAGATCTGAGGACAGAAAAACAGCCATAGCACATCTCCATCTGGCCTTCTACACACTGGGAAGAGGTTTGACCAATATCTGAAAGCTGCAACATGCATGGAACAAAACAGACTGAACTCAAACAGATGGGAGTTACCGTTTTCAAGGAACTATATGGCTGTTTGGCTGTTCCAGATGCCACATGTTGGAGGTTGTACCATATGTCATATGTTGGATGTGGCATCAATTCATTTGAAGAAGCAGGTTTATAACTTGGGAATCAAACTACTTTTTATTTATACAATTAATACTAGTGTTTATTGGCATTTTTCAGCCACTCCACTTTAAATGGATTCTGGATAGCGAACAATTAAATAACATAATTAAAATGAACAATTCATACAATAAAATTCTAGTATGTTACTATATGTAGCATGTTATTGCAAATGAAACCATATTGAAAATTTGATATCATAGGTGTCACCAAAGTTTAAGGTAAATCTCAAATTTTTGTATACCATGGTATTCCCTCTAGGAATATTAGATATTAATAAAATCTTCAAACTGTAGTAGGTGGCTATCATCAATGTGGCCTGTCTGTCATATAGCCTTTGGGGAAGAAGATCTTTCATCTCATCTAATAAATTACCATATTTCTATGTATGAGTGTTACATTTCACTTATTAAACTCTGCTGCTGTCTACATCATATCTATTTAATTCAAGAAATTTGACTCAAGGTCTGATGTGAGAAATTCATGTTGATTAAAAATGATGAAGTTGATTTTTATATCATTATTTCTCTCTCCTCCTGGATATTTATACTTTAATGATAGTGCTATATAAATCAGAACATACTTTTCAACATGAGCAGGAATTGTTTCCTATACCACTGCCCAGAATTAGAATTAATTCTCCATTGGATTAAAGATGTATTGCTGGATTAGAGTCTTACTGATGACAACACAATATATCCTCTGAAAGATTTAAATTCAAAGAAGTTTAATTAATTATAGCCAATGTTGTTACTATATAATCTAAATTTAGTACTTACAGCATCAGAATAGTATTATCAATGAAGAACTGAAATTTGTCCTGAAAATTTTTTTTGAATTTGAAAAAATATATCTCACACTGATGTTCATTTTGGAGTTGTTTATGTCTTTAAATTTTCTCCATTGAAATATGTAAAAAGTGTTTTCAATTGAATCATGTTTCACCCTCAATAATAATATTTACAAGTCACTTTAGAAACAGAACCAGGCAGTCCCTCCCATGTCAAGTAATTTAAGTTATATTTAGCTGCACTGTAGATACATTGTCCATCATATTAACTGTAATGCAGCATTCAATTCTTCAGAATCAAGCTTCTTTGAATAGTTCTACATAACTAAATGTGGGTATGTTCCTTTAATGGACATATGCAAGTAAATCTGACTTGGTGTGTAGCATTTATTTTTTCCTTTTGTAGTAAAGAAAATGCATGAATATTAACTATATAGATTATGCTTCACTAGTTTGCCAAATCCTGTAAAATTTTATCTGTGTGGATTAGCTTCCATTTGGAAATACTTGGGTATAGTTTGTAATTAAATTAAAATTATGAAAATGGAATAAGACTGAAATAAATTGAACAAAGAGATTATTTTATGTGAAAATAAAAGCTAAAGTTTTAATTGAATTTTGCTGTTCCAAAATTAGTAGAAAATACAATTCATTTTTTACAACTGATTTCTGTGTCTTAGGACAGCAATTAACATATTAAAACTCAGAAAAGACTAGGAATGCTGACTTCAATACAATATTCATTGGCAACCCTTCCCCTAAGAAATATAGCATTTTTAATAATGGTAATCATTAATCACAATTTTTCTCAGAAGCAAACATGAAATTAACAATATTATGTGTGCACTGTTATTTATTTATTTAAATAGCTACACCAAAAATATCAAAGTTGATAGCAATATTTATACAAAACATTAAAAATGTTGTGTGTGGATGTGCATGTAAGCTTGTGCATGTGTCCAATTATTCAGACATACATAAACAAGCATATCCATGTGAATACAATTTATCAAAAGGAAGCCATTGCATAGAGATTAACTGAAGCAGCATGTGTGTTCCGAATGAAAGAAAAAATGTCTTTGTAACTCATTAACAAAAACTCTAAGAACAGCTAGAATATTAAACATAGTTGCAAAAAAGCTTAACAAAGATAGGTCTAGATTTAGAATGTGGGTGATATGGACTGGAACTATCCAGGGTCCTGAATATTTGCCATTCTCTTTTCCCCCCCTTCTCCACTGCTGTAATAAACCCATTCATTTAGTGGACAGATATGGACTTCATTCAGATCTCCGACAACAGCTGTCTAGCCAATATAAAACCTAGTTTCTAAGTATTAATCTTTTAAGAGATTTTTAAAAAATAAATAAATCCGCAATTCAAATATGCTCATTTGTCCCTCTCCCATACTCACTATACCATACTTAGAGGCAGTGAAAACCGGAGCTCAGGTGGGCGACGGGAGGTTAACAGAAATGGGGAGGGGACCTAGCTTGGATCATAGTTTCTTTTGTGTATGCCAACGTTTCTAAGCGCACAAAGAGAATAAAGATAATAAGAGACCCCTTACAAATAAATTGTAAAGTTTGATCCAAGCTATTTCATGGATCTCTTTTCCAAGCCACAGCTGGACCCTGAGCTAGAGGCAGAAGGATACTTCTCTTCCTATATCACGAGAAGCTCTCCGCCACTGATAAGGAGATAAGGCTTCCCTGGGCGAGACTTACGTGTGCCGTCAAACCTAGTCGCGATCGTGTCCAAGAAGGTATTTTGAGGTGCCAGTAATCCTTTCATAACAGGCATTTTTCCAGCACGGTGTGAAATTCTCCATCAAAGTTTGCCTGGAAAGAATGGGTCGTCGGAGGAGGGCAGAGGAGGAGGAGGAGGAGCACCGCGGACTTTCCGGCATCGGGAATGGATGCTACTTTCGCTGCTGCTGCTCCTGCCGACTTTAATCAAGCCGAGAAAGCGCCCGGTTTAGCAACGCTGCGAACACGCTTGCGCGCGCGCTCAAACTGGCCACCGCCCCCTAACTCGGCCCCGCTTTGCCCTGAGTACCTTGGAATCAGACGCTTCGGGCGGTATCTGGAGAAAGCACGCGTCCTGCATTGCCGGGATATTCACTGTAACCAGAGAAAGAAATGCGTTTTGGCGGGGGTGGGGTGGTGGGGGAATGGCGGGCATTAAAAGCCTCTTTGGTTGAGGAGCGAGAGCACTAGAAGAGGGAGCCTGTAAACGAAACATTCTCCCCACCCACCGACCATTCTTTTATTTACATTTATAATAAACAATTCACAATTCAGTGGATAATATATTGTGGGGCCAGAGATATAACTGTATTTAATTAAATTATATAGGAATCTGGAATAGAATAGACAGTCGTTATGCCTTTGTTGATAGTTCCTTTATTGGTTGCCTCTAGACAGATAGTAGAAAACATTGGAAAACAGGAAAGAATTTAAATATTTCCAGATAGTGGCAAATATGCTGGGGGGAAAATCACACTAATAAAAAATCGCCCTCCCCTTGAACAAAAGACTATATAATAGTCACATAGATTTTTCCTTCCTTTTTAATTGTGGAAGAATCATCTTCCATGAAGATCATGGAAAAATATTTTTTCTGCCTGAAGCTCACAATACATTTAAGCACCAGAAAGCAAGACAAGAAACAATGGATGGAAACTAATCAAGGAGAGAAGCAACCTGGAATTAAGAAGAAACTTCCTAATAGTGAGGACTATTAACCAGTGAAACTGCTTGCCTTCAGAAGTTGTAGATGCTTCATCCCTGGAGGTTTTTAAGAAAAGACTGGACAGCTACCTATTTCAAATAGTATAGTGTCTTCTGCTTGAGAAGGGGGTTGGACTAGAAAACCTCCAAGTTCCTGTCCAGCTCTATTCTGATTCTTAATACTATACACCACCTCACCCAAGTTGGTGTTTAGAATCCAAAGACCAGCTATCTTATTTTGATGCCAATGGCATAAAATTCAACCAAAGGCTCTCTTCTCTCCTCTGCCAAAACAATTCAATAATAAATATTTCATTGCATTTTGGATAAATAATATCCAAAACTAAGACTTTAAAAAAAAATGTTTTTTACAAACATGTCATTGTAGGAACAGTGTGGGACCAGAGTCTGACATTTTAAAACAAATATGACAATATTCTTCATATTTAATACAGTTGACAATATTAATACACAATTGTAATTTTTCATTCTTTGATTATTAACCATTTCAATATCTTATCTTTGTGTCAATCTCCATATTCTGAATTTCCCTCTTTTAACTGCAACAAAAATATTATTAATCTTTTTTGTGATGTTTAACAGACAAATAATTCTAATAATAATTCACCAATTTATATTGGGTTATAATCTTGCATTATTTGTCCCCTTTCTGATTTTTAACCATGCCACTATTATATTTAAAAATATCCCCTTTCTAATCACATTGTACAACTTATTTATTACAAATAAATATTTATGTTTGACAAGTTATATAATTCCAATAATAGTACAGTTGTTTTATTAAGTTATAATATTTCATTATTATCTTATTTCAATATGTTATTTCTGTAATTTTATGTTAACCAAGTTCTCTCTTATATCACTCCTTTTCCTATAAATAAAATGTTAATGTTCATATTTATTACAACAATCTTATATAAATTGATTAATCATACACATATTTATGTTAGATTGTATTCTTCAATTATTTAAAACTCAGACTTTAACTGTCTACATACATAGTAGAGCTACTGAGCATATACAGAGTCCATTTTCATTGTTACAAATTATCACCATGTCTACTTTTCTTATTAGTTCATTTATAGTGCTAGGATTCAGACTTTATTCATGCAAATTTATCTATCTCTATCTCTACCTATCTCTGTAAAATTTCATAACTGTTCATCTCCCAGGAACTCTGGGCAGTGTACAGGTAAAATTATGCCTAAATAAGCAAGTAAGTGTATACAAAGTATGAAGCCCTTCTCACAATTTCTTAATTTAATGTATAATTGCACTTGGATTTAATAGTAAAAAAATTTGTTTGTTAAAACCAATGGTAAATGGGATTTTTGGAGCCCCAAACCCCATTTGACTATGAAAAAAATACTGATAACAATTTCAATACTCCTTGTTCAGTCTGAATTTTGTATTCAGTTTGAAATCTGCTAAATCAAGTCTGCTACTCAAGGTTTTACTAAATTTGAAATTTTATTTATGGAAAGAAATCGTATACTCTCTTTGGGGGGGAATAGTTATTTATTAAATTTATATCTCAAATTACACAATGCAATCGAACATCAAAATAGGCACAATAAATGTCAACCAATAACATACTAATACAAATAAATGATAAATAAGAACACATCATATCTTTTGGAGTATCTGTCCATATTCTCCTTAACCTCTCTTAGACTAGGTAGTGAAACTTATTTTGGATTCTTACATACTCATACAGATTCATAAGATAGCTTTGCAGCATTATGAATATTAATTTGGCAATGCGTCCCGCTGAGTTCAGTAAAATTTATTCTCCAAAACATTAGCAAAGAGTTACAGTTTTATGGGTCAATCATATGTATACGCAATAGTATCTAGATTTAATCTCATGGTATGCAAGATTGTGAAGTACATTTGCAATCCTACTCTTATTTCTTTCTATCCTATATCTGTGCTAAAGAGTCTGTGAGACATAAGAGTACACTTAGAAATTGTAAGTACATTAGAGGGCAAATAAAAACATTACATATGCTGCAACAATTAGAGGATGATATATCAGATTAAAAGTAAAAAAAAAAACCTACCATGTTCAAATCACAATTTAGCCATGAAGTTATTTCATAATTTTGGGCTAATCAATTTCATTTAGCCTAAACAATCTAACAGAGTTGCCATAACTGAGATAAATTGAGCATGAACAATGTCATCTCCTTGAGTACATAAAAGGAATAAAGTTACTTGTGTAGGAATTAATGGCAGAATCTGAATAAAATAAGAAGTCCAGCTATGGATGGGAGATTGGTAACTAGAGCTCCAGACAGTTGCTGCCTATGAAGAAACTATGACATAGAAGCCCCTGAAAGGTTTTGAGTACTGAAAGATGAGGGGATAACCATCCTGTTCAAACTAGTCTTCATCTTTAAAAAGGACACTGTTCCCTTTGTTTTCTAATCACATTCATAAATTGCTTATTAATTACTTTTAGGCTGTTGGAAATCTTTGGATTGACAAATCTGAAAACACCAGGTGAGTATGCCTTCAGTCTTTAATGAAAGAAAAAATAAACTACAAACTTAAGAACTTAGAAATTGAAATACAAAACAAGAAGCTAAAAAATTTGCTTTTAGAAATTTACAAACAGATTAAGAATCCAAATAAATTTGAAACAAAATTTTGAAATTAATTATAAAAAATCCTTTCCTTTGCAAAATCAGTTCGTTTTAAACATAAAAAAATTAACCAATTTCAAAATTGGATACTAGAAAGAACTAAATATTTTAATTAAAGAAAAGAATAAATAAACCTAATTAACAGCTATAAATGAAAAATATTATAACATTGGAAATACTGAAGAACAGTTTTGAAAGATGGAATTACATCAACAATAACAGTAAGAATGTTTGCTTTTATAGGTAGACTATTTCCTAAAAATGTTTTTGAAGAAATGGCAGAGGAACAAGTTTTTATCTGACAAGATAGAGATGACATCAAAAGCTAACCTGACATGCTACAAATGACATGGTACAAGTATGACATATAAAAATGTTTAAGTAGGTATACAAGATAAATTGGCTGATACTTTAACAATAAAAAGGGAATTACAAGTACTAAACCAAACAGTGACCTAGATAATTATTTCATATTGGGTTTAGAAAGGGGGTTAAAGCTTGGATAAATCTTATGAGGAAAGGTAAAAAAAGAAATGAAAAGAAAAACAAGTTCTATCACATTATTTGAATATATTTTAAGTTTGTTAGAAGAAAAAGGAACAAATGTAAACTTGGTTTATTTGATCAAGGTTAAAATGTTATTTTTGGCAATCCTTAATGGATTCCTACTAAACTAGCAGTTCAAAAGCATGCAAATGCAAGTAGATAAATAGATTCCACTTCAGCTGGAAAGGTTACTGTATTCTGTGTTTTCATACTATCAATTAACAAAAGGCTCCCTGAATTGAGAATCGGAGATGAGTATCATCTCCTTGAGTCAGTCACAACTGGACAGGGGAAACCTTTAAACATTTAATAAACTTTTCCTGAGACCAGGCTTTAAATGACAAATATTTATGGACTTGTTTATAGATAAGAGATAGGACATGGGATGGAGAGATCACTGATTGTAAATTAAGAGGAGAAAAAGAAATTGAATTGTAGCATTCAAATACGAAACCATTTTTTTGCACTAAAATAAGATTTTCTCTAGATTATTATTATTAATTTACATTCAGACTATAGATAACATAAATTACAATGAATTATTTTTCTAAAAAAAATCAAAGTATTTAACATATTAAACAAAGCACAAAAGCACAGAAAGAAATCTTGGGCTGTGAAAATAATAATGAAAGAACCAAACTAAAGTGAGCTGACCTTATTATTCTCTTCATATCTACTTAAACATAAATCTAATTGGAATTAATTTATAGGTAAATAATTGTGGGATTGCCCACAAAAATAAACAATTTTAAAAATTCTGATTTTGACATCTTTTTTCAATGGAAGGTCTGGCTGGGGGTAATTACTGTTTTAATTAAGAAACATGAAGATCAAAATCAGTTTATTACAAGAGAAT